GACTGTGACTGAACCAACCAACACCGTGTTGAGGGACTGTGACTGAACCAACCAACACCGTGTTGAGGGACTGTGACTGAACCAACCAACACCGTGTTGAGGGACTGTGACTGAACCAACCAACACCGTGTTGAGGGACTGTGACTGAACCAACCAACACCGTGTTGAGGGACTGTGACTTGAACCAACCAACACCGTGTTGAGGGACTGTGACTGAACCAACCAACACCGTGTTGAGGGACTGTGACTGAACCAACCAACACCGTGTTGAGGGACTGTGACTGAACCAACCAACACCGTGTTGAGGGACTGTGACTGAACCAACCAACACCGTGTTGAGGGACTGTGACTGAACCAACCAACACCGTGTTGAGGGACTGTGACTGAACCAACCAACACCGTGTTGAGGGATTGTGACTGAACCAACCAACACCGTGTTGAAGGACTGTGACTGAACCAACCAACACCGTGTTGAGGGACTGTGACTGAACCAACCAACACCGTGTTGAGGGACTGTGACTGAACCAACCAACACTGTGTTGAGGGACTGTGACTGAACCAACCAACACCGTGTTGAGGGACTGTGACTGAACCAACCAACACTGTGTTGAGGGACTGTGACTGAACCAACCAACACCGTGTTGAGGGACTGTGACTGAACCAATCAACACCGTGTTGAGGGACTGTGACTGAACCAACCAACACCGTTCTGTACACGTGCAGTAGTGGGGGTTGGGTTTTCAAATATCTGTATTTTTTTTTCTTTTGCTGTGTCACCAACAACAACAACAATTTTATTAACTCATAACAACCTACTGAATGAGGTTAAAGGTTACAACAACAAAAATTACAGAAAAAAATTAATCAAATTACAATGCTAATAGTTTAAAGACAACCAAAAACAGACTAAATTGAAGTTAGTAACGGAAATATATAAAACGGAAATATATAATAAAGTAAAATGAAACACCAACAAAATTGTTTTCATAATAAAAAAATATATAAAAATATAAAATAGAGCAGAGCGTCATGGATATTCTCTTGTTAACTGCACATATACATAAAAATGACGAGTGCCACTTTACAATCCCTTCCATCGGCTATTAAAAGTGAACTTCTTCTATTTATAATTCAATTATTTCAAGTATTTTAATTAAAATGTTATTTGAAGACTGAAATTTGTTTATGTTTGAGCTTAACCCCATGTCCAAACGCAGGCAGAAGAATTTCACAGTTTGCTCTGTTTTTTGAGAACTCTCTATTGTATATGAATTTACGGCCGTTTCTTATCTATGAACATATCGCCTTGCCCGCACGTGTATAACATTTAGTGTCCTTTGATGGAAAGTTAGTTGATGAGAATTTTGGGAACCCAAATTAAATCATTAGGCGGGATAAACCACAGTCCCTCTATCACTGGGATAAACATTCTATTCTTTGATGAGCAGCAATTGTCTAAAACAATGGTGGTCTTTTCTTTCATCGCTTTGTTTAATCCGTGAATGTTACGTGAACAAATCACACGTGATTGGGGGGAGTACCTTCATTGTGTGTCCGTGATTGCTATTTGTCGAAGACTCGTCATGGGATTAGTAACAGCCAACCAAGACGCCTGTCACATCAAATCTTCAGCGGCAAATCTTCATAGCGGGAGGGAAACTGCATTCGGTTCCCCAGTGCCCTAAAGGTGCCTGCTGCGTGTATACCTTCCATTCATCTACAATTCCAAGAAATGTATCGAATTTAATGACGGTGGCAGCTCGCAATAATAGTAACTACGACGGCAAGAAGACTAATACAAATTAAAACGTGCGCGAGGCGACATAACAAAACAATGAGGTAAGTTGACGCTACCAACTATTTGCAGCGTGTACTAATTGTGGAGTGCTTTCCTGGGTTTTATAATATATGACCATTATGTCGAAATGAGTAACTACCGCAATGCACCGCATTACTAGCGCGTTCCTTTGTCGCTACCCAGTCGGTAAATGTTGGCAAAGAAGTGTTGAATTAAATATAACAAGGGTATGGACATTGGTTGTCGATGGTACAAACCACGTCTTCCCCGAGATTTGCTCCGTAAACTCCGACGAGAAACAACACGTTGTGGTCTGCCAAGTTGTACACTTCTGATATACATATCCATTCCAAAGGGAAAGGGGACGCTTTGGGCAGGTGTTTTTGACTGTGTGAACGAGAACCCAATTTTAATCTTGTTTATTTAATAAAAAAATCGGCCCGACAATCTAAATGTGAAACAGGCATGTTTCCCAAATTACGTAATATAGGCTTTTCACCCTTCGAAAGTCATTGATTAGATATATGAGCCATTGTGGAGGCAACCTTTGTTTATTTCCTATATACATTACGTGCGGAACATCTTGTGCTAGATCACTGATGGCTTGTGGCGTAACGTGGACAATCTACTGTAACGGAACTCAACTATTAGTTGTCTGAAAACGGAATAAGCTATGTAGTTCGTTACGAATATTGTATTTCATCTGAGAAAATAAATTTCCGTTCTATTGAAATTTGAATGTTTTTTCTTCCAGGAACAAGGCTAATGTAAATCCTGGTGTGGCGTTCAGCACAAAATTTCCAAAAATATCCACTTCGGAACCACAACAACAACAAAGCAAAGGTGTCGGTCAGGCGAAGAATTCAAAGACTGACACTAAACCCATCAACGCTTGTCTGAGCGAAGTGGTGAAAAAAAACGCTAGACGAACGGCCATTGAGGAAGAACAGCTGAGAAAAGAAAAAGCTATCGAAGAACACTGCGTCAAGCTGATTGACAGCCAGATAAGATCAGTGTTGATGCGCCAGTATAGATTATCATCCAGAATCAACAGTTGTGCCAACAGCGACAGATCTAGACAAGAGGAAGAGACCGAGGGAAAGCCAAATTTTGTCCATCATTCTAAAAAACACACATATTTGAATTTCTGTGAAGGGAAATCAAAACAACCCATTGCAGGTGGAAACTCGATTGTGTCTAGATTCCCACCAATCCAACAGAAAGCTATCGTCAATAGGTCGTCATATGATGTACGTATGCGTAAGAGGTCCAGTTTGCTGGCGGACCAAAGATATACAAATTTGCACGAATCTTTAGAACCAAAACGCGGTGAGTGTTGGAATGAAGCATCAGAGGAAAAGGAACAGCGAGAATAATGTAAAGACTTATCTACATTTGTGAGTGTAGAGCACACGAAGAGTAAACATTGCCCCAGTTATATTACTGCCCTCTACGTTGATTTTTGGTTAGGGGGTCACTCCTCTATTGCATTATGAGAGGAGGGACGACGGTATTAGTGGACTGGATACTATTTCCAAGAATGTATTTTTTTCAGAAATTGGGATATAATTAAAATGGTTGAATATTGTGAATGAATACAGGCACAAAAAGACAAGTTTACTGTATGGCATACTTTATTCAATCTGGACGCGAGTAATAATAGCAAAATTGTTATTATCACACGATTACAACAATTAAAATAACACAATATTATACTTCAGTATTCGTAAATGTATTCAAATATTAGCATGTTTTTTACTATTCGTATCGTGTCTGTCAAATATGATGGAACATAATGTTATATCTGCTTTCAGTTCTGCATGTCATGCGACAAGTCTTCTAGGTATGTGTGACGCGCATGAGCGAATCAAATCTGATTGAAATCCGATGTAGGTATGAGGTTCAATTTTTTTATGGCCCTTTTCAACAATCAGCCAAGAACCACGTAATACGAAAATAGATTCTAAAACCCATTCCCGATATCTTAGTCGACAGCACAAATCTATTTCCATCGCATATACGATTTTGTCAAGTTCCGGTAACGACCTGTATGATTTTAGTTTCAGTCTTTACACATACTCTCTCCATACATGATTTAATATTTGGATTTTTTGAAATTTTTTTCAAAATATTTCCTTTAGATTTGAAGTCACTAGCCAAGTGATGTCATCGAATATAGCACTGGCCATCTCGTCTATACTGTCATTATCACACAGTGGCAAACACGCATGAATAAACGACTGGATGTAACACACAAAACAAGTATTATATATACATTACTGCAAGTGAGGAATAATTTCAGTGGCGGCAGCACCGTGAGGGCAAATGCTGGGGGCACCCCCCCCCCCAATCAAGCTGAAACCCTTTGTGTCGATGCGACACAGTTGAAGAGGAATGCCTGTCTTGCCTCTCAAAATGTAGGAAATAGCGTTTCAGAGGGTCTATATTACAAAATTCTCCCGTAGGAGCATGCCCGGAACCCCTGGTAAGGTTGCGCCTTCAGCGCGAGGGATGGTGAGCAGATCTCGCCCCATGCAACATTTCATGCCACCGCCTCTGAATTTCATTTTATTAACAATTTGATTACGTTGAAGAAGTCTTCTGTTCAAATAGCATTCTGTGTTATAAACACTGCTATTAACCGCCCTGTTTTTATTGTAACGCCATGTGTCCTTTGGAAATTACATTGATATCAACTATACTGCTTCGAGTCGTTGCATTAAATAAGAAGAAAAACAAAAGCACTTTAGTTAACCAGACTTGGCCGTATACGGCGATTTAATTCAATGCCGCCCGAGGTGTCATAGAGTATGTAACATTTGTCAGCAATGCATCAGCTATGCGAGTGTTATCAATAATCATTCCTTTGACGGAATAATTGTAAATAAATCTTGTTTTCTTAGTTTATGTGAACTTATTAATGCAACGTGGAAAACTTTTGTTGGTATATTTGTTTTGAAATGAAACATTATATATAGTAATATACAGGTATGTTCTATTGCTGACTGAATGTGGTACGTACTATTAATGTGTATACACATACCCGTTTCACGTATGGCATCGCTATACTTTCGATTTCGTTATTAATATATATATTGGAGTAGAAATAGTAAAGGTAGCAAAAGTAGCAAAATCTATGATGTCACGGGACATTATACAATGTCATGATAACAACCGGTATAGATATTTCAAATATATGGGAAAAATCATAGTGTGTGTATTCAGCTTCAAATGGTGGATCACATCACAACATTTATATCTATATGTAAAATTTAAAGCGAGCCGGTCCGAGCCCAGAGACTAAATCAACAAAACATTGGACGGTATTATACGCCGATTTGACACCTTGGCCGCCAACGCAGATAAGCAAAAATCTGTTAGCGGAAGAAATGATGTCATACTATATGAAATTGCGGAGGAAAAAGGGAAAACGATGAAAACTGCAAAAAAATTTAAATGATTACGTGAAGAATAGAAAAGTATGTTGAATCGAGATGTTATTAGAACCCACCGAAAACCAAGCCTCCCCACACTTGGACGTGTACAACCAATAATTGTCAAGTTTCACCGTTTTATTGTAATCCATATTCTGTGTGTAAAGATTGATGACCACTGTTCTGATATCATTGATGTGAAATCAGGGGTTTCGCAAGGTACTGTATGTGGACCAGTATGATTTTCCATATACTTCAAACGTCTTTCAACATGGCTGCAATCTCCATCGCCGATCTCCATTAATAGACCTCGTTGTACTGCATAATGAAGTAGAACAAGACATAAACTCTCAAGATACATCAATCATACATTCAACTTGTCACTTTTGCTTAAGAATATATCATTGGAATTGGTTAGAATGGTCCATGGGAAAAGTATGACCATATTTCTGTTGCCAGATTGTGCATGAATGTAACCAATATAAGAAAGATTTATACACTATCTCAATAAACTGGTCACCAAATGCAAGAATCATTTGGTTACTTGCTATTTCTCAGAATTACTGACTATATACTCCATCATTCATTTCTACAACACATCCCTACAACCCAGACGCAGTCATTCAAATACCATGCAGCCAACACTGCATATTTCAATAAAAATGTTATTTTATTTTGTACTATATTTTGTTACATTGTGTATTTTATTCAGTACGCGAAAACCCATTTATTAATGCGCTGTTCTTAAATAATACATTCCAAAATTATTGTAACTAATACCTGCATCTGATGTAAGGCAACTATTAACTGTTACACAATTATTAGCCTTTCGAACTTGTAACTATTAGCTTTTACAACTTTCTTCTATTGGATATCGTATTTCGCAACTAATGTTGAATTTTTCTTGCAACTATTGGATATTGTATCTTGTAACTATTGGCTATTGTAGCCATGTTGTTGTGAATACTGCCTATTACTGTAACAATGTGTTATTTTAACAAATTGCTAAAGCAACTAGTGGCTATCGACCAACAACTGGCAGTTATTGCAATTATTTATCATTGCAACTAATTGTGAATTAAAATATGAATCACAGATTACTAAAATGTGCACCAGCTAGTGTATATTCTAAAACGTCTTGGTATGAGAGTAACTCGAATTATAGAATAATGATGATCACTGACCGTCATTAGAAAGTTATCAAACGCATTATTGTCAATCACCTGAAGTATACATGCCACTGTATCACAGAGCCCAATAATAATGTTGAGGCAGTGAATAGCTGAGCACTGATGTCAATTCATTCAGGATGTGAAGAAATATCACAACATAGCTATACTACCTACAATTATCATTTATCTCGTTATGCATTTACTTGTACTATTAAATTGAAATTAGATGCATTCTATGGTCTTAATTATATACACATAGACTTTGTTTCACTTCTACAATTCTACAATGTTGGAATTTCGTTTGGGTATAATGCTATTATTAATATCATTAATTATCAATAATATTTCTGAGACAGTGAATGTCAATTCATCAAGAATGTACAGAAGTATCATAACTATACTACTTAATTGTCGTTTTTATTTCGTTACACATTTACTTTTACTGTTAAATTGAAAATGGTCGCATTCCATGGTCTTGTTTATATGTGTGTAGTCTGCATTTCTACAATTATAT